TTCTGAATCGTTATTATAGAGAGGACACATTTGACTTTTCCACTTAGAGAGTCTCAGAATAGTCGGCAATAGAAAAATCGAATGTAGAACTAACTCTGAAAAATTATATGTAGAATTTGCCGCATAAACTTTAATATTAAGACCCTACAGTATTTATGTTTATGCAGATCAACGATATCGTTGCTAATCATTAAATAAAGAGTTAATCGATTTAATCTTTTCCTTACAAAATTTCAAAACATAATTTCGTTTCAGTGACAATATTACTTTATTTTTGCAATATCCTGATACGAAAGCAATTCAATGAAATTTTCATTTCAAAGTTCTCCGCTAGATGATAATGTATGCAAATAATGCAATGATTAGATAATAAAATACAGGAGTCTCTGACTATAATTACAAATTGAAAAGAGTTAATAAAGGAAACGCGTATAAATGTTTACATTTCCAGTGTTTACAAGCAGAATACCAGCGACACATCTTGAAATTACCGTAAATTATTAACATTAATAAGATGGAACGCGAAGCGCAAACGAAATCGAGATGACACCTCGTCCGAGGAACCTTTCGTTAATTGTAAGTCAACCACCCTCTTCTCCTGCGCCAGGCTTAGATGGCGCGATACAGCCAGTCGGTGCAAAGCAAATTCGAAGCGGAGCTTCAAACGAATACATCCAACATCGACGTTTCGAAGGGAAAACGGATCGTCTCTAAAAATTTCTGTACACAGGCATCTTTCAACATCACCGAGAAAACGGACGTGGTTTTATTGACAGTACGAAAAAAAGGATGGCAATGTCAACTGAAAACAGGTTCTTGCTTCTCGGAGAAAGAGAGACGAAGAGGGTAAGAGACAGATCAAAGATCCATATCCTTGCCCCATGTTAATTATTTTCGATCGATTGTTCAACGATTAAAGGCACATTGTTTATTCATCCGAAAGGGAGCTCCGATCCTTTTCTAACCGCTGGCAAGTCAACATGATGACTCATTTCGACAGATCAAATCTGCGGAGGACAAGAGGCACAGTCGCTATTATTCGTGGTGCCATTGTAAGTCGCGGTGCCACGCTTCGACTTATTCTTTACGATGACCCGAACGAAATCCATTCTTCTTCCGGACGCATATCTATCGGATCGAAGGGGAGCATCGCGTTTACCTTCGCATTAACGTCCCCCTGTTCGGGACACCTTTATACCATTCATCATGCGCGAGAGCAGGGCTCGTTGATGAATGCAGATAACGACGTAAACATCGGGACGATTTGAAAATGAAATTTTACTCTTCTCTTCTCTCCGAACCCGGCTCCGTCGCGT